CTCTCAGCGGATTTAATGACTCTTAGCGTTGTACACAGTAAACAAAAGAGACAAAAACTTTTCTGTTTTCTAATTATTTATTTCTATGATGCTGGAACCAAACATTGAGATTATTGAACACATTTGGCCAACGGACCCAGCAGGACGATACAAAAACAGATTACTGATCCACATGCATATAAAAATATCTAAATTAATAAAAGAAGAATAAAGAATAAAACAATAATTGGTCAGGCTGGACCCTCTGGATAAACAAGGCACTGTGGAGATCAGGACAGAAACATGAAGCTCTCCATGATCAAACATTTCTGAATGATTCACTGCTCTGATGATGGATTCAAGATAAACCAGAACAATCCCTCTGCTGATCCTGCTACTTTGGACCGAACCAGACGGTGCTGCAGTGCTCCGCCTTCCCAGGTCACCTACTGACCCAACATTACAGCTGGAGCGGAACATGCTGCTGTTGAAGGTCCGGACCCTGTTAAATATAAACAGGTTCCTGTTTGATCTGGACGCGGTCCAACACCAGGTCTCATCCTCCAGTCGCACATGTTCTGATCCGACTAGAATAAACAGAACCCTGTCTTAATGGAGACATTTCTCCAAAAAAATGAAGCAGGATCTGTTAAGATTGATTTCTAGAAGCTGTTCTGGATCCTATTAACCCTGCAGATGATAGAAAGTTCCTTCTGTTCTAGATCTATAAGCAAATAACAGAATCTTATCTCCTATAGTTTTCTGTATCTTTCTTCAGTTTTGAGATTTTTTGATTCACCTTGGAGTCAAAATTCGATTTTAAATCATGTTTCCACCTCCAGCACCGTTTAAAGCGGTCTGGTTTGGACCTTTCCTCCGTCAGAACATCCTGACTGCTGCCAGCAGCACCACTGCAGCAGGGCGGGGTAAACCCCCCACCCCGTCTGCAGGGGTCAGGATCTGCTCATGATACACCAAGGAGCAGAAGTTCTGAGGTGAGGAGAGAAAGAGGAGCGGATCAGGATCAGGGGAGGGTTTGGTGGGTCGTACGGCCGATCAGACGGGATTCGGATCCCACAGATCAGAACTTGGACCAGGAGAACCAGATCTCTCAGAACCGCTTAGATCCTCCAGCCTCCAACCAGCGTTGACCGGAAGAAAAGCAGCTCTGTGGTCCCTCAAAGACCAGTTCCCCTGGTCCGACGTGAGGCGGACAGTTCCTCCAGAGGAGCTAAAGCTAGCCTGCAGGTTGAAACGTTTCCATGACGACTAGATCAAAAGACAGAAACGTTCAAAGGTTCAACTAAAAATCTAAGACAACATTCAGGCAACAATAATAAGACTGAGAGCAGACGTTCTGCTCCTGGTTCTAGTTGTCGTAGACGTCCACGTGGTCTCCTGACGTGAACTTGTCGTCTAGAAGAACCTTCATCAGCTTGGCCGAGGACGCCTCACATGTCAGCAGCTGACCCTGAGCGAACATGCCAGAAAACTTCTTCTTGATGGTCTGATCGGCCGTTTTGGACCTGGCCTCCACCTGCATATCTGTGTCCAGAGGTCCTGGTCCAACAGAAGACAAGAGGAGCAGGATTGATTAAAGAGGTCCTAAAGATCTACATCATCGTCGTTGCCAGCCGGTCCTACCTGGAGAGTAGCTGAGCACCCTGAGGTCCGGCTCCTCTTCAGCCAGAACCTTGAACATCATTTCCCGTGCAGCCTTGCCGGTGCAGTAAAGCGCCCAGGAGCGGAAAGGCTGCAGGGCGCAGAGCGAGGTGACGTTGACGACGGAGCGCCGCAGACCAGGATGCTGCGGGAAGGCCTGCAGCATCCTGGCAGTGAGACACATGGCTGAGCTGACGTTCAGGGAGAGGTAGGAGTCCACCTCGGACATGTCGCTGAAGTCTCTGACGTACTTGGACACGTCGCCCAGAGAGGCTGCGGGAGAGAGGAGAAATCAGGCCTAACATCAGAGAGCGAGACAAAAGGAAGGCCTGTGACTCATCAGCTGTTACAAACCCAGACGCTCCGCTTTGCTTCTGAGCAAACATGGTTCCACTCATCAGCTGCAGACATTATTAACGGATGAAAACCACATCTAAGTCTTTAATCCACAGCCCGGCTCTAATGTTGGATCTGATTTACAACAAAAAGGCTTTGTTTTTGGTCCAATCTATAAAAGCCTTGAACTCAACGCTATTTCTGACATTTTGAATTGAAAAAGCTTCCTGGATGGGAAGAGAAATGTCTTTAAACTTGAAAACAAAGTATAGTGGATTGTTTTTTTGTTTTTTTTACTTTTTTGGAACAAAAAAAGATAACATTTCTTATTTTCCACATCATTCTTTGACATTATTGAGCCACAATTAGATCAATTACCTCATCACCATAGGTGGATCTACTGGGGTGGCATTGGGTGGCAAATGCCACCCTAAATGATAGCCTTGCCACCCCTGCTGCCACCCCAGTTGGCAG